AAAAAAGTGCAGACTCGAATTTGCAAGTGTGACAGTAAATCATATGCAAACGTAATTAATGTAATCATGTACAACCCTGTTTCCAAGAAACTGCATGCAAAATGCAAATAAAAACAGAATCCATTGATGTGCAAAGCATTTAAACTATATATTTAATCAAAAATAGATAACAATGACAACATATGAAATTGAGAAATGTTATTGTTTTTTGAAAAATATATGCCCATTTTGAATTTGATGCCAGCAACACTTTCCAAAAAAGTTGGGACAGCAGCATGTTTACCACTGTGTTTCATCACCTCTTCTTTTATCAACACTCTGTAAGCGTTTGGGAACAGAGGACACACTGCTGTAGTTTTGAAAGTGAAATGTTTTCCCATTTTTACTTGATACAGGATTTCAGCTGCTCCAAAGTTTGGGGTCTCCTTTATCACATTTTTGTTTCATAATGCACCAGATGTTTTCAGTGGTGACAGGTCTGGACTGCAGGCAGACTAGTTTAGCACCTGTACTATTTTGCTACAGAGTCATGCTGTTGTAATACATGCAGAATGTGGTTTAATATTGTCTTGCTGAAATAAGCAAGGCCTTCTCTGAAAAAGACGGCATCTGGATGGCAGCATATGTTGCCAAAACCTGTGTAAATGATTCCGCAATAATAGTGCCTTCACAGATATGCAAGTCACCCATGCCATGTGTACTAATGCACCCCTGTACAATCACAGATACTGGCATTTGAACAGTGCACTCTCCTAGTTAGCCTAAAGGACACAATGTCCGTGATTTCCAGAAAGAATATCAAATTTTGATTCGTCAGACCACAGGACACTTTTCCACTTCACCTCAGTCCTCTTTATATGTGGTTTCTTCTTTGCATGGTAGAGTTTTATCTTGCATTTGTGGATACAGCGACAGTGTCTTAACAGACAATAGTTTTCAAAAGTGTTCCTGAATCCAGGCAGTGCCACCTGAAGGCCCAAAGATCACAGCCAGCCAATATTATTTTTTGGCTATGTCCCTTGCTTACAGAGATTTCTCTGTGTTCTCTGAATCTTTTAATGATATTATGTACTGTAGATGATGGAATCCCAAGTTCTTTGCAATGTTACAATATTCTTGAATTGTTGCACTATTTGTCTCCTCCCCTCCCCTCTAAAAGACTCAGTCTCTCTGGGACACTCTTTTTATACCCAATCATGTGAATTTTACATCTTGTCCTTTTTTCTTCTGGGAGTTTATTGGTCAGTTTACAGAAATCTGATTACCTGACTTTGGACTTTTTCCATTAGCTGATAAATGTATGCAAACATATTGAACAAATTACTGACAAAATCTGATTTTGTGCAGTTATCATATTGTGTGTAGTTATGAAGTGCATGTACATCTGTACTGTCAGCTTTGTGCTTCTTTGCTGTAGTCATGACTAAATGAAACCTTACATGAAGAATCCAGTAACAAAATGTCAAGTAGAGGAAGATGCTCACTTCAGATGTTCACTGTATAGAAGATGGCATCCACTGTGGCATGACTTCCACACTACACACACAATGTCTTCCTTGGTTGCCAGGTACATCAAAAACCTCCAGCCTAAAAGTCTGCCTAAAAGCTGGCCATGGCTCGATGGAAACTAGCACAAAATTTGAAGTGCCATCAACTTCTACTTGCTCCATTTGCTGCTTGCTAGCTACAATTCACTTCACCTTGAGTACATGCAGAAGCTGCATTCTAAAATCTAGGCTGTGGTCCAGGTGAGCTGCAGTTCTCGACTGTTACATCATCAAAGTATATTCTATTCAGAATATCCTTTGAATACTGCTATAACAGACAAAACATTCAGACAACTTCGGAAAGTTGAAGAGAAATGCAGACAGAACCAAGAAAGTACTACACGTTGTATAAAAAGGCCAGTTTTACATTTTTGCTTTTGTATTGTAAAATATACAGTACAGCGTTTCTATGTCTACATTTGTTATACATGTGTTATTTGTCAGTTAAAGAAGGTTTTAAATGATTGGAGGGTGTGAAATGCTCCTGCGTTAAACAGTGTTGAGCATGCAGGATAGCCTTTGATTTCAAACACACTAATATTGTGTCTTCCACTGATGATCTTTCACATCAGTATATTCTCCATCAAATTTTGCTCTAATCTCTATCTAATCTGGAGTCATTAAGCCACTCACTGTCCACTCTATTAGACACTACCACCTTGTTCGTCCACCTGGTAGATGTAAAGTCAGAGATGATAGCTCATCTGCTGCTGCACAGTTTGTGGTGGTCATCCTCTAGTCCTTTATCAGTGGTCACAGGATGTTGCCCACAGGATGCTGCTGGCAGGATATTTTTGGTTGGTGTACTATTCTTAGTCCAGCAGTGACACTGAGGTGTTTAAAAACTATAGCTGCACTGCTGTGTCTGATCCACTCATATCAGCACAACACACACTAAAACAGCACCACATCAATGTCACTGCAGTGCTGAGGCTGATCCAGCACCCAAATAATTACAAGACTAACTCATAATAATGTGGTGGTCATGTGGGGATCCTGACTACTGAAAAACAGGATGAAAGCTGGCTAACAAAGCATGCAGACGAGCAGATGGACTACAGTCTGTAATTGTAGAACTACAAAGTGCACCTATACGGTAAGTGGAGCCGATAAAATGGTCAATGAGTGTAAAAACAAGGAAGTGGTTTCAATGAAGCGGCTGGTCGGTGTCTGTATGTATATCAAAGGACTACGGTAGACAGTGCAAAGGTTTTCTTTTATTTTGTGTGTGAGTAAAGTGTAAACTCCTTAGAAATCCAGTCAAATTACACACTTGCACTTTCTACAATATTCCACACTATATTTAAAATAACAATTTAGTGTGAGGATCTTGTGGGTCTAGTAGATGCCGAGCAGCTCCTGCAGTGGCCACCGTTATAATTTTAAAATTGTTACTAAACTGTTTATTTAAAAAAGAAAAAGAGCTGATAAGTGTTTATGCATGAGAGATAGCTGAGTCAGAGGCAGTGTGAAGTGGACTCATGGTGGGTTGTGCTTTACATACTCACATGTTGTGCTTTGTGTGAATTTGGTGATAAAGTACTCTCTGCAAAAAAAAATATATATATTTCTTCTTATGAAAGAGCAACAGAAGATGAGCAGGAGCCCTGAGTGTATTAAAATCTGTCAGAATGAATGTTGGCTAGCATCACACTGAATGACAGAGGAGACAGAGGGCCATCATACCTACTCAGAGAGAGAGAGGACTATTACGATCTCTCGGACTCCCAGCTGCACATGCCCATGGTCTTACCGGGGGTCCAGTTTTGTATAATTAATGTTGTTGACTAATCATTGCAGCCCTACTACTAAACACTACTGTTGGTAACACTTTACATAAATATCACAAATTAAAGATTAATTATGTTGTTAAGTTATTGAACTACTCATTACTGACAAAATTAATTATTTGTTAAATATTAGGTATTACTTTGTAATTTACTGCTTTATAATGTTTAATGCGTGCAATTATAACTACTTAAGAGCAACTATACAAGCTTATGCCCGGTATTACAAGGTGTTATGTATGCCATATAATGCCTGACAAATGCATTCATAAAGTATTACAAATAAAGTGTTGCTGCTGTTACATTTACTCATATTGTGAAATGGTGGTTTTGCGCGTGACGGTTTTAAAAATATTAGACAAATTCTTTGTAATTTTCTCCCATTACCTGAGTGTCTTGATGTTGTTGAAAATTTGCCAAAAAAAATATTGGACTGTTATAGCAGCGAATATGGAGGAGACAGAATTTAAATTAAATCTAACCATAAGGCTGTCTATTAGAAGAAATAGCAAAGCACACAGGCTGGAAAGCAAGCTAGCATACTAGAGCTGGAACTGTGAACGTGGAAACCGAAACTTCTATCTAACCTTAAACATACACACTGTGGTTTTGTTTTTCTTGGTATTAGTTTTGTCATTTCTATTTAGTAACAGCCCTGACATTTGTGTAGTTTAGGATTTTCTGACTTGAGAGTGTTGTGAGTTATAATTTAATATAATTTCTAAATTAAGAGAGGATTTGCCTCTGTAATATGAATTTGTGATTTTTCATCCTTAACGTGTGAGATCTCAAAGTAGGACTTAATGCAGGAAGTTTCATCTTATGAACGTATTCAATGTATTTTAGTATTTTTATCCCTCGCAGGAATGGATTTTTTCCCTCTTATAGGCGCCTGTCAAATTAGAGTTTTTAGTTGGAGGCTGCTTACAAAGTGAAAGTTTAATATTAAATGCTGCTAAATAATGACACATATTGTGCCATTTTGGTCTCACTGTTGGACACTGAGTGTAATGTCTGATGTCAGAACAATGTGGGAGGGCACAGTTGTATGTGTTACACAGTTCAAGAATATGCAACGTAAGTGATGAAGCACAAGCAAGAGCTGCATTAAAAAAAATGCTTTAGCATTTTTAGCACACTGAAAAACACATTGAAGAAACAGCTGCAAACAGTGATTGAGAGGCTGCTCCTTAAGCAATGTCCGCTTGACAGCTGTGACAGAAAACTATTAGTGATTTCTCTGCCATTTTGTAATTTCTTGGGCAAAGAAAATAATAACTAAAATAGTTAATGCGTATTCATTCAACAGATTCTTTTTAATAATTTGAATTACTCTTTTGGGGCAATTTAAGTTACAAAAGTACTATGTCAGCTCTACTGTAACATTTTAGTTAGTTCTGCTAAATACGTTCTGTTTGACCATAGAAAGCTTAATCATTATTGAATGTGGGACTTACTGTTTTAATTTGTGAAGAAGAAATCCAATAATAGCAACACACAGTAGAAGAAGCGCTGAGAGATCAGATATGGCCCTGTAGTCCGTTCATATTCTGTGAATGAAATATTACTACAGTTACCATCAGTAAAACTAGAAAGAAAGGAACTAATTTGACAGATGCTAAATGTAGCCCACCAATTAGCATCATGTTTAAGCAAAGTGGTGTTTCTAACCTGCTGATGAACAGTGATGAGTAGCCACAGAGTAGAACAGCTGAGAGGTGCTGCCCAGCTTGTTGGTGCTGATACACTGCAGAGTGCCTGTACATGATTGATGAATGGAAATAAAACTCTTCAGGCCTGTGCGGCCCACAGACTCCTCCCTGACGGATGAGCTCTCGGAGGGTGGGACAGGTTGTCCAGACAGACGCCACTCCAGTTTAGGAACAGGACGTCCATGAACCTCACAAACACACACGATCCCACCTTTACTGCTGCTGTTACAGTGGAAGAAGAGATCATTCTGGGGAGCATCTAAGAGAGAGAGAGAGAGAGAGAGAGAGAGAGAGAGAGAGAGAGAGACAGAATGAGAAAGAAGTGCATAAATGCAATTCAGAAGATTGTGAACTTCCCTCAATAATAAATGCACAGGGCCAGATGAAAGTACAAATGAGTGCAGCGCTACATATGCCTTGATGCAACTGCAACATTCGATCACAATGTGGCTGAATTTAAAGACCTTGATACTCTAGCCTTCTCAATAATGGTCTGACGAGAACCGACAAGAGCCAACGGACATTTGTGATTTTCAGAAGTGGCGCCTCATCCTGGACAATCATTTATTTTCTTTTCCTGGATAAACACCACTATCGTCCAATCAACGATTTGTGACATCAACAGCCTGCTGTTTTTCAAATTCCTACCAGGAATTGTTGTGCAGAGCAACAGGTAACTCCACAAATACATTGTTTATGAGCTACTTCCATACTGAAATGTATTAGGATAAAACAAATGGGTACAAAACTTTACTAGTCATTTCATCAACTAACGGATAGTGTGGATAGATAATGTTGAGTCTCTCATACAGGCTAGTCAGTTATCTTACCATGTAGCATTGCTAACAGGCTATCTGGCTAGTTAGGTTGTGTTTAGCAAACAGTAATCCAGTTGATCCTGGATAGCCAGTTACTTGCGTTATTGATTGTGTTCATCTTGGACAGCCAGTTAATCTAGTTCATGACTGTACTGATCCTGGATAAGCACTTAATCCAGTTCATGACTGTATTGATCGTGCATAGGAAGGTAATCCAGTTCATGACTGTATTGATCCTGGATAACCAGTTAGTCATATTATTAACTGTTTTGATTTTGGATAGCCAGTTAGAGCTATTATTGACTGTTTTAATCCTTATTAATGAGTTAATCTGGTTTTTGACTGTATATATCCTGGATAGCCATTTAGTCATATTATTGATTGTATTGATCCTCGACAGCCAGTTAATCTAGTTCATGACTGCTGATCCTGAATAGCAATTAATCCTGTTACTGATGGTGTTGATCCTGAATTGCCAGTTACTTGCTTTATTGATTGTGTTGATCCCGGATAGCCAGTTAATCTATTTTATGACTGTACTGATCCTGGATAAGCACTTAATCCAGATCATGGCTGTATTGATCCTGGATTGGTAGGTAATCCAGTTCATGACTTTATTGATCCTGGATAACCAGTTGTTTGTATTATTAACTGTTTTAATTTTGGATATCCAGTTAATCCAGTTCATGTCTGTATCTATTCTGGATAGCCAGTTAGACCTATAATTGACTGTTTTAATCCTTGTTAATGAGTTAATCCAATTCCTTGCTCTATTTATCCTGGATAGCCAGTTAGTTATATTATCAATTGTATTGATCATGGACAGCCAGTTAATCTTGTTTGTGACTGTATTGATCCCAGATAACCATTTAATCCTATTACTAATAGTGTTGATCCTGGATAGCCAGTTACTTGCTTTATTGACTGTGTTTTTCTGGATAGCCATTTAATCTAGTTGACTATGCTGATCCTGGATAAGCAGTTAATCTAGTTCATGACTGTACTGTCCCTGGATAAGCAGTTAATCCAGTTCATGGCTGTATCCATTCTGGATAGCCAGTTAGTCTGTGGGTTCCAGATTCAGGTGGTCAATTGATTTGTGTCCAAGTATTAAAAATGACAAAAAAGCTCAAAATGATACAGTAAAAACTGTTGAAAGAAATAATTGTAGATTTTTTAGGAAGATAAAGATAAATAGGAAGATAGTAATAGGCCTATAGAATAGCTTTGTAATGGACTATGTGTATTCTTTTTCCATTTTTAATGCCGCTTATAAAAATGTTTAGTTACACTTTATTTTGATAGTCCACTGTAGATGCTGTAGCCCATATGTTGTCATGCACATTTTATCAGCTGTCTTTAAGCTGTCTGTAATTATTGGTCGGTTTCTGGGACTGCTGTTGAGTAGACAGTGGTAGATCAGTATGGTAGAGACACTGATATGGTACTCGTATGGTGGCCCTAACAGTGTTGCTGGATTTTTACACATCAAGACCACTGCTGGGTTGAGAATAGCCCACCATCCAAAAATGTTCTTGTTCAAAATTACTAAACAGTTATATTGATCTAGAAGATGGCTAACACATGCATTCCATTTTACATTGATAGGCTATATTCTCTGACTACATGATGGTGATTCTCAGTGATAGATGTATTCTGATGAAGCATAATGGTATCACGTGTTTTCTTGGGTATTTAATTATCTCTACAGATTGGATCACATTCCTAGTGAATTGATTATTGTGAAGACATCACTCCAGTCATTTAAAGATGGAAAATGGCTTTATGATATGGTAATGGATGCTCAAATGTGGTATATAATTTTTTGTTTGTCTGTTTTTAATTTGGTAAAACGTATATTAACAAAATTGAGAAATGTGTAAAGTAGGCTTATAGTCTTCTGAAGAACTCTGTTATTGCTTTTCTAGAGCCTGCACTGAAGGGTCCACTGACTCCTGAATTGGACTTCATCAGCCAATGTACTTGTAAAGGAGAAAACTCTGTTAGCATTTCTTTTGATAAAATACTACAGTAATCAGACGTAGACATGCTGTGAAAAACCTTTATGTGTGTATCTCATAAAATTAAACATACCTGAAGAACATGGAACCAACAAAGGAGAGCATTGATTTCACTTATCTCTGTCATCTATGAATAACCTGAAATTTTCAAAGGAGATTCAATATATTTATTCAGCTGTATGCTTTAGACACTGACAGTATAGCAAGAGAATGCAGTGTAAGATATCTGTGTGATGTATTTTTAATCCTTATGCTAACTAGGAGCAACACAAAATAATCCAGTTTTGCATGTTCCTAGGTGCACTTTAATGGGCACACTGTATATATATATATATATATATATATACATAGAATTGCAATGCATATAATATACATGATAACATGATTCAGTCATGTGCACAAGTTGGAATACTCTTGTTCAGATGAGGTTTTGTTGATTTTCTAAGTGAAAATAGCAGGTAGCACATCTACAGAGAACAAAAATACAGGGTATTTTTTTCTACAAGTTTTAGCACTTCATTTCTAGTTTACTGTACTGAAATGAAATAAAACAATATAGATATTTTGTGCAATAAAAAGGACAAGAACATTTTATGTTTACGTTTTTCTTTGTTATGTTTTTCTTTTTTTTAAAGCGTTGAATTCAGCAAATACACAGTAACTGTATATTAAATGTGCAGAAATGTGTTCTCTGTGGAGAATGTGTACTTATTTCCACTTAGAAGATCAATTAAACATGCAATTTGACAAGGGGCACCCAAACTTAAATAAGGAAATGATTCAGTGATTGTTATGAATTATTTTGTGACCACTCAATATTCAGTAACTGCTAAGAATTATTCAGTATCTATTATGACTTGTTTAGTAAATATTATGAATGATACAGTAACTAATATGAGTGATTCAGTAACTTATATAAATTATTCAGTAACTATGGGAAGTATGTCGCAATATTAAGCTCAAAATATAACAATAACGACCTGTACAGTTGCACAGCTGAAGACTCATAAAACAGAAGATCAAAAATTTACACAAAACTGGAACAATTTGTGTCTTCAGTCCCCAAATGATTAAGTGCTGTTAAAAGGAAAGGTGATTTAACACAATGGTTAACATTCTCCTGTCACAACTTTTATGGAATATATTGAAGGCATCACATTTGAAATGAGCATTTATTTACAGAAAAAACAATGGAGTTTATCTGGTACAACATAAAACACTGTTTTTGTACCATTTTTATTTAATACAGGTCAAACATAATTTACAAATCACTGCTTTCTGTTTTTATCAGCATTTCACATACTGGAATTGGGTTTGTATTATTATAAACCATAATCTCAAAGATCTCTGCAGAGTTTTGCATTTTTCTGCTCTTGCACAACTCATTGTTTCATCTCATTGTTTCATTATACTAAATCAAAGTCGTTCAACTGAATCAATAAGTTACCATTCATTCCACTCAGTAAACACTTGATCAACTGAAACAATACTTTTAAAATCAAAAATCAATTAATGATTCAATATAAGAAGCACACATGGAATTACAAGTTGATAATACTGAATGATTCATGGAATTACAAGTTGATAATATTGAATTATTAATAATTAAAAACAAATCACTACACAGAATAATGATGACAAACCATGCACTGACAAACGTTTTTGACTATCCAGGATCAAGGTAGTCATGAACTGGATTAAATATTTATCCAGGATCAATGCAGTCTGTAACACAATTAACTGGCTATCCAAGATTAATACATGAAATAGATTAACTGACTATATAGGATCAATACAGTCATTAACTGGATTAACTATCCGGGACCAATAAAGTCATGAAGTTGATTACTTAATTATGGAGTGCAGTCAGATACTGGATTTACTGAGTATCCAGGATCTAAGCAGGACTGAATGACTATCCAGGATCAATGAACTGGATTAAGTGATTATCCAAGATCAATACAGTCATGAACTAGATTGAGTTACTATCCAGGATCATTACAGTCAATAACTGGATTAACTAACTATCCACGATCAATACTGTCAGTAGTAGAATTAACAGGCTGTCAAAGATTAATACAGTCAATAGCAGAATTAATTTGCTAGATCTAAATCTCAGATTAACACAGTCATTAAAAAGGATTTCATGCAGATTCCAGAAGAAATACAGCCATGAACAATGTCCAGTTGACTATCCAGGATCAGCAGCTATTGGCTACCCAGGACAAGCTGCTCATCATGCTGTGCAAAGTACTACTAAGTCTGCTAGCATGCTAACTAGATACGCTTTAGGTAGCTCATAAGTTGATCTGTTAGGTATTTGTGAATGTTGTCAAACATATCCTTAAAAAAATCACACTTTTCTTAGTCTTACTGTTTGCTAAACACAACTTAACTTGCCAGATAACCGGTTAGCAATGCTACAGGGTAACATAACTGACTAGCCTGTATGAGAGACTCAACATTATCTATCCACACTATCCGTTTTGTACCCATTTGTTTTATCCTAATACATTTCAGTATGGAAGTAGCTCATAAACAATGTATTTGTGGAGTTACCTGTTGCTGTGCATGAGCAGGAGTCACTGGTAGGAATTTGAAAAACAGCAAAGGCACTGGCTGATGATGTCACAAATCATTGATTGGACGATAGCGGTGTTTATCTAGGGAAGGAGAACAAATGATTATCCAAGATGAGGCGCCATTTCTGAAAATCACAACATGCCTCTTGGCACTAGTCGGTTCTCATCAATGCTGTTTTTGCTGATAGAGCAAGTTGAATCGGCAAAGGCATTTGGCTGTGAGAGCTGAGAATCAGAGTACGAAGAGAGAAATAAGAGAGCAGATCCGTACATGACTCTCTCAAGAGGCCCCGTTTTTCAACGTCAGGTAGTAACAACGGCAAGTAGTAACATTTTAGCACTGCAGACGTTCATTTTAACCTTTTTTACTATTCAACTCTCCAAATTTCTAAACAAGCGGTATTTCAATGGCATATGCCCAATTAGAAAGTCTTTAATATTGTTATTAATAGTAAAGCTTGGATGCACAAAAGCTCAGTCATTTCATGTTTTTTTTAGTCGCATAATTATGAACATAATCAGAATTCATTGATCTGTCAGGCTTAGTTGACACTAGTTCTTCCTCGTTGGGTTGGTGTGTCTGGACACTAACAGGTACTAATGACTGGGCAGTAATGTTGGTGCACCTGGGCCAAACTGGGCTAATTACATTCACTGTAGCTTATCATGCAAACTGTATGTAGCTTCGCCCACTAGCTGCTCACTCTCGAGATACAGGGTTTAAAAGGCACAGTGAAATAATGGGGCCATCAATAAGCTCGAGACAGAAAATGAAAGTTCAGTGATGAAGAGATGTAAACAGCGTTAATGAATGAAGTTTTTCCCACCAAAATGTTCTACACCCTACAAATAGAATTTCTGAAATGATGACACAGGCTATGCATGCATATCACACATATTGTCCTGAGAGTTTAAGCAGTGTCACTTTGAAAGTGTGCTTTCAGCACAGGTTTGAGACTCATTCCTCCATCTAACCTGTCTGCTGTTACTGTTAAAGAAAGTCTCCAAACACATCTTTTAAGACCATAAAGCAAATTTACATCTGGTTTTAAAAGGCAGTGGAAAAACGACACAAGACCAGCAGCCACAAGTTGCTCTAATGTCCGTAAATCCAACCCAATATGCAAATGCACTTTCAATATCTTTGGCCACTTTTTGTCCAAACATCCCATGTTTTTCGCAGCTCTTCATTAACATAATGTAGCCATGCCTGAAAGCCAAGGAGGGTTCAGATGAGACTGCATTTCTCAATGCCACTGAAGGCTGTGCCATTTTGTAGGATGCTTCAAATTAGGCCAAGAAAGCATCCTTCATTTCAGAAAAATGGCAGGACTCAACTGATGTATCCTTCAAGACCTTCAGTCACTCATAATTCTTCCCAAAACTGTTTGAAAAGTGATGAAAACAGCAGCAAATGGCAAGATGCTTTGTAATGAATGGCAGACCGTATAATGAAATGTAAAATTTAAATGAATGTTTTTAAACATAAGATTTAAACATGTCATGTTGTTTAAGTTAGTAAACCACAATGTGTCAGTCAATGTGTTGTGAATGTGCCTGAGCGAGTAGTGAGCCTTGTATATCAGTGCTAGCAAGGTCTCTTCTACCTCGTCTGCAGATTTCATTTTGAGACATGCCATATTTACGAGGGAGAGAAGAACGTTTTACATTTTTTCTATGTACACAGCCCATAAACTGTGTGGTTATGCCAGTTTCATACTTGTTCTGCGTGTGCCATGAGTCCAATTTGTGTCTCAAACTGCTGCTAAAGGCTCAGAACATCAGGCCCTCAATGCTTCCCTTGTATCAGTTTTGAACAGTTCTGTTTCCTGGCTTTGTCACTAAATCTTGTTCAGTGAATACCCAGTGGAGGCCAGAGGAGCATGAGGCTTCCTATTTTATTCTTGCTTCCTCTAAAATTTTCTGCATTACTGTCTCTTGAGGAGTTTCCCTGTCTTACCCAAGATCAGAAACTTCATGCTGATGTCTATTGTGCAAGGCGCTACTCATGACTAAAGGGTATTCTAAACACTGCCACAGCGTGCTAATCGCTCTTTCATGATGAACTTCCTGTGATTCATCTGATCAAACGTTGAGACTAAAATAAACAATGGCAAACCGAAACTAGAGGCTTGGTGACTTCACTTGTCTAGGCAGCTTATACTCCACTCAGTATTGTGCTGCAAACATTTTCACTTTAACTTTGATAACTTTAATCAAACGTTTGTAGCTAATATTCCTTTCTAAAGGGCACTGATGCCCAAAAGCTAAACAAGCATTAAAAAGTGCACTTATATGTAGAGGTTTTGCTAAAACTAAAGTAATTTTTCAATATGCACACTAAGATGAATATGATGAGATAGGGCTGAGCAGTATGACAATAACAATTGTTATCATGAAAAATCATGTCACAATATGCTGACATTGTTTCTAGCACAGTACTTAATACACATATAACAACTTCAAGTGTATTTACAAAGACAGCTTGATTAGTCCTGGTTAAATGGATTTTGTGGAGCACAGTAAGTGAATGTTGAGTATAAAACATTGGATTCATACTTTTTGATCATATGTATTAAATGTGGCTTTACTTTTTCTGTTGTAACTTATCAGATGTCAGAAAAAAATAAATATTGTAACAATGTGAAAACTTCATGACATATCATATATGTGATATCACATTTTTTGCCATGTTGCCCACCCCTAGGATGAGATGAATTCATCCACCTGTCAATCACCAATCATTCTCTTCCAACTATCATATAAGCAAAATGTGTGTGTGTGTGTATTATGGTACATGTTAACGTACATATTCTGTCAGCTTGACAGAAGCAGAAGACTGAAAAAATCAACATAATGCTGGTGATGCTTCAAAAGATAATCACCACGTTGTGAAAGAGAACTGACAGAGAAATACTACAGTTTTATAGTGAGGTTTTATTCCTTTTTACTTTTAAAACAATGGATTATTTCCCACTGTCTCTGCTGGAGGAAAGTCACATATTATCTAAGGAAAATTCTCAGCATTTTCTGTACAGCTTAAATGTCCTGATAGTTTAGATGAGCTGAAAAATTACGAAAATATAATACTTCATGGTTTCCCACAAGCATTTGAAGTCTAATGGTTGAAATTCCTGTGCATTCCTACTGCACATAACTGCATAAGCAGAGCAAATAAAGCGTTATGGCACTGTACTCACACTGAATGTCCAGCTGCACAGATGAGTTTTGAGCTCCATGTTGGTTCTGAGCTCTACAGTAGTATAAACCACTGTGTGTATCATCAGTCTTGTTGATGGTGAGAGAGGGTCCGGTCTCTATCTGCTCTCCATTCTCTCTGTACCAGGTGTAGTTCACTGCTGGGTTTCCTTCACTACTGCAGCTCAGAGACACTGAACTGCCAAACATCACTGGACCAGATGGAGACACTAACACATCCTTAGGAGCATCTGAGGGAGGAGAGAGGACAGAACAGATTAACAGTATGCCTCTTGCTACCTCATCTTCTAGGCTAAGCTGTGCCTCTTAGGTGCCAAGTCTTGTCCACTAGAGTTTTGCCATCAAACCACCACTATAAGACATGGCTTTTCTCCTTCTGGCTCCACACCATGTTCTCCTCCAAACTCCTGACTGCCTTCTCCTCTTTACTTCACCTCCTCACTCCATTCCGGGTTCTTCTACTAACTCCACCCTGCTTCTTCTTCTCACTGTGGCCAGCTTCTATCTCTAGTTCACCTTCTCTTCCTAACTCCATACCAGGTTTTCCTCCTAACAACACCCTGACATCTTTTTCTGCCTCCATCTGGCCCCAGCCCAGCTTCTCTTTCTAACTCCAGCCCAGTTTCTCCTTCTAACTTCAGCAGAGCTTCTCCTTCAAAACTCTTGTCCAACCTCTTTTCCTGATTCCACCCAACCTCTTCTCCTAATTTCAGCCTGGCTTCTCCTGGGCCTGTCTTCACCCTCTAACTCCACCCTGACTTCTCCTCCTGACTCCAACCTGGCATTTCCTCATATGTCTGGCCATTATCACAAATATTTAAAAATGTATCTGAAATTGAGTAACTATACACCACCGAAAAGCCAAAAGGAGAGAGTAAGTAGGATGAGGCTTTATTATACACACACACATTTTCTATGTTGCGTATCCTTCTGGGTCCCGAGGGGAGCTGGAGCCGATCCCAGCAGTCACTGGGCGAAAGGCAGGACACACCCTGGACAGGTCGCCAGTCCATTGCAGGGTAGCCTTAGTATAGTGAATGGAAATTTCATAAACAAAGCAATTGGAGCTTCACCATTGTACTCACACTGAATGTCCAGCTGCACAGATGAGTTTTGAGCTCCATGTTGGTTCTGAGCTCTACAGTAGTATAAACCACTGTGTGTATCATCAGTCTCAGTGATGGTGAGAGAGGGTCCGGTCTCTATCTGCTCTCCATTCTCTCTATACCAGGTGTAGTTCACTTCTGGGTTTCCATCACTGCTGCAGTTCAGAGACACTGAACTGCCCAACATCACTGGACCAGACGGAGACACTGACACTGACGTGTTCTTAGGAGCATCTAAGAGAGGAGAGAGGACAGAACAGATTAACAGTACTCCTCTCTCCACTTTATTCTCCAGGCTATGCTGTGCCTTTTAAGTCTCAAGTCTCGTCCGGTGGATTCCTGCAGGATTGGCCTCCCGAACAGTTTCGCCATCAGACCACTACTATGAAGCACTATAAGTCTAACATTTACTCCAACATGGCTTTTCTCTATCGGACTCCACACCATGTTCTCCTCCTAACTCCTGACTGGCTTCTCCTCTTTACTTTACCTCCTGACTCCACTCCAGGTTCTCTTAATAATTCCAGCCTGGCTTTTCTTCCTAACTCCACCCTTGTCTCTTCCTATCTACACCCTGCTTCTCCTCCTTGCTGTGGCCCAGCTTCTTCTATCTCAAGTCCAGCTTCTCCTCCTAACTCCATTTGTGGTTTACCTCCTAACTCCACCCTGGCTTCCCTGTCCTCCTCCACCTGGCTCCTCCTCCTCCCTTCTCTGGCTAGGCTTCACCTTCTATCCCCAGCCCAACTTCTTTTTCTAACTCTTGCCCAGTTTCTCCTTCTAACTCCAGCCTGGCTTCTCCTCCAAACTCTGGCCCAACTTCTTCTCCTAATTCCACCCTGGCTTCTCCTCCCTGGCCTGTCTTCACCCTGTAACTCCACCCTTACATTTCCTCATACGTCTGGTCATTATCATAAATATTTAAAATGTATCTGAAAATAAGTAACTATACACCAGTGAAAAAGTCAGAAATAGAGAGTGAGTAGGATGAGGCCTTAGTATAGTGAATGGAAATTTCATAAACAAAGCAGTTGGAGCTTCACCATTGTACTCACACTGAATGTCCAGCTGCACAGATGAGTTTTGAACTCCATGTTGGTTCTGAGCTCTACAGTAGTATAAACCACTGTGTGTATCATCAGTCTTGTTGATGGTGAGAGAGGGTCCGGTCTCTATCTGCTCTCCATTCTCTCTGTACCAGGTGTAGTTCACTGCTGGGTGTCCATCACTGCTGCAGTTCAGAGATACTGACCTGCCCATCACTGGACCAGATGGAGACACTGACACTGATGTGTTCCTGGGAGCATCTGAGGGAGGAGAGAGGACAGAACAGATTAACAGTAGACACCACTTCACCCTCCCAGCTCAGCTGGGAAAAATGGGTCCCAAATCTCATCTACTGGAGACCCTGCAGTATTGGCCTCCAGAACTATTAGAACACTGATTAAAGGTGATATAAGTCTTTTATTGTCTCAAACTCTTCTTTCCTCTTCCTGACTCTACACCATGTTCTCCTCCTAACTCCTGACCGGGTTCCCCTCTTGACTCTGGCCTGGCTTCTTCTCTTGACTCCACTGTGACTTCACCTCCTGACTCCAATCCAGGTTCTTCTCCTAATTCCAGCCTAGCCTCTCCTCTTAACTCCAATTTGGCTTCTCTTCCTAACTCCACCCTGCTTCTCCTCCTCACTGTGGCCCAACTTCTTCGATCTCCTGTCCAACTTCACCTCCTAACTCCAGCCCAGCTTTTCCTTCTTACTTCACCCCAGCTTCACTTCCTAACTCCACCCTGGCTCCTCCTTCTGCTTCCACCCTGGCTTCTCCTCCTCACTCCAACCTGGCATTTCCTCACACGTCTGTCCATTATCATAAATATTTAAAATGTATCTGAAAATGAGTAACTATACACCAGTGAAAACGTCAGAAATAGTGAGTGAGTAGGATGAGGCCTTAGTATAGTGAATGGAAATTTCATAAACAAAGCAATTGGAGCTTCACCATTGTACTCACACTGAATGTCCAGCTGTACAGATGAGTTTTGAACTCCATGTTGGTTCTGAGCTCTACAGTAGTATAAACCACTGTGTGTATCATCAGTCTTGTTGATGGTAAGAGAGGGTCCGGTCTCTATCTGCTCTCCATTCTCTCTATACCAGGTGTAGTTCACTGCTGGGTTTCCATCACTGCTGCAGTTCAGACTCACTGACCTGCCCAACATCACTGGACCAGATGGAGACACTGACACTGACGTTTTCCTGGGAGCATCTGAGGGAGGAGAGAGGACAGAACAGATTGGTCTCGTATACTGGAGAACCTGCAGTATTGGCCTCCAAAGCTGTTAGAACACTGATTAAAGGTGATATAAGTCTCCAGATGGAGACACTGACCCGGATGTGTTCTTAGGAGAATCTGAGAAAGGAAATAGAGAGCTGCATAATAGTATATACAAACCTCAGGTCCAAAAAGGTTGGGACAGTTTTATGAAATGAAAATAAAACAAATAGTAATGAGTAGTAAATTCTGGTTAACCGGTATTAAAATTGACACAATACTTAATGAATACATTAACACATATAAAAAACTAGGAGCATGTTTACCAGGAGCATGTTTACTACTGTGTTATATCACCGTTCCTTTTAACAGCACCTAATAATCGTTTGGGAACTGAAGACACCAACTGATGCAGTTTTGAAAATCAAATTTTTTGCCATTCTTCCAGTCCTCAGCTGCGCGACCATACCTACGTACTTACATCATTGTTGTACTTTGTGCTTCATCATAAGCCACGTTTTGGACTGCAACCAGGCCAGTCTAGCACCCGCTCTCTCTGACTATACAGCCATGCTTTTGTAACACATGCAGATTGTGGCTTGGTGTTGTCATGTTGAAATAAACATTGATGTCCTTGAAAAAGACATTGTGTAGAATGTGTGTATATATTTCAGCATTAATAATAATAACAATAATAATAATAATAATAATACTTTTGTATGTACAGAGCTCTTTTTTCACAGTGTTTCATAGACAGGTGATAAAGCTCAAAAGAAGAAGAAGAAATTATGAATATTAAATTAAAATAATACAAGATAACGGCATATATCAAATTACAAATATAAATACCAAACAGAGATTTTTAATTAAATGTTCAATTAAAGAAATATGTTTTCATATGTTTCTTAAAAGTGTGCACTGAGAATTTTAAAAGTAGCCAGTGCCGTTCTTGTGATATGATATGACTGTGATATGATCTCTCTTTTTTTGTTTTTGTTAGGATCTGTGCTGCTGCGCTCTGTATGAGCTGTAGAGGCTGCATTGTTCTCTTAAAGAAACCCAGTAAGAAGAGCATTACAGTAATTAACTGTGCTTGTAACAAATGCATGAACATCTTTCTCTGCATTACTCTGAGATAGAAAAGGCTGAAATGTAGTAATATTTCTTAAATGATAAAAAGCTATAAAAACCTACGCACTGACTCTGTTTACATGCAGGACAAAACAAAGCTCAGATTACATACAGGTTTTGTACTTCAGGTTTGGGCAAAAGGGGCAAAAGAACTGAGCTTATAAAGCATCTTTCTCTGAATTTTAGTGCCAAGAATCAGTATTTCAGTGTTTTCTTCATTTAGTTGTAAACGTTGAGGAATGTTGTTCGTAGACTGTTGGATTATGGATGCATTTTCCTAGCTGCTTCTATTATACTTAAGTGTGGTCACTGTAACTATCTGTTTTCTTCTCAAAAGCCAGCCCTAGTTTAATAACCAAAAGGTGATAACAACTCCAAAAACTTGAGATAATGGACATTTACTAAAAGGGTTGACTCTGATTCCCTCTTTACAGAACTAAGACACTATATAACCTTTAATACTCTCAAAGGACACAGCTGTGCGTTTCCCAGACCTTCTCTCTCTGCCTTGTCACAGGGTCATAAAACCCCACCAACATTCTTCTCACTGAGACAACTTCTCTGTTGCCACTACAACATCAAACTCAACCTTTTCATCAGAGACTGTGATATGTTTTTATCATTCTGCTACCTTGTTAGTTTGTCATTAGACCCATACTTGCCAACGTGCTGGTTAGATAGATTTTTCCATGCTCCATTTATCTTGTTCATTTATACCAATTAATAAACAAGCTAGCAGGTGATTTATCATTTCTGCCTGAAAGATCTCTGACCTCAAATAAACCTTCCCCCTTTATTAGCTATATATGACATCAAACCAAGTTGTGTTTTGGTACAGGAGTAAAATAGGTTAAATAAGTCACATGACTATTGTAACGAGACAGAAAGGGCCAGACGCTCGCGGTAAAAAACAAAAGATGAGGCTTTAATATCCAAGGGTTTGACAAGAATCGTGGTCAGTAAACAGGCATGGGTCAGATCCAAAACAGCAACAAGGTACAAAATGGCAACCATAACCAAAGGGCAAAGACAAAAGGGAAAAACCAGAAATCCAGAAAAACAGTCCAAACACAAAAAGGCAATCACAAAAACACAGGAGAAACGCTCAGTAGTTCTACAAGAGAAGCAATACCTCGCAATCTGGCTAAGCTAAAGCCCGGGCTTTTAAACTAAACTAAACAAGTCATGTGACATGGAACACAGGTGAACAGAGTTAGTATTCAGGAGACTGTGAGCGCTGATTGGAGCGTGAGGGAAGGTCAGGGGTCACGTGAGTCAGGTGATCTCTCAGAGGATTCTGGGAGATGGAGTCTGAGTGTGCATCAGAGCCGGGATGTGTGACAGTACCCCCCCCTAAAGAGTCCGGGGTGGCCTCGGAGCGAGGCCGACCAGGACGACCACCACGCTCACCACCGGAGATCCGAACAGGAGCAGACCCAGAGCCGCCGCAGTGCTGGACAGATGGGGTTCGTCTACGACGACCCCGCAGACAATCAGGAAGTGAACTTGGGAGCACCTTTCGTGGACGACCCCTAGGGCGAGGAGCAGGTTTTTCAGGGTGTTGACTGTGGAAGTCTGCAATTAGGCCAGGATCCAGGATGTCACGTGCTGAGACCCAGCACTGCTCCTCTGGGCCGTATCCCTCCCAGTCCACTAAGTACTGGAGGTCACCTCCACGTCTCCGGGAGTCCAGCAGCCGACGGACAGCATAAACTGGTGCACCATCTATCTCCTCCGGGGGAGGTGGCGTGACGTCCGGCGTAGCCTCGTCCAAAGGCCCTGCAATGACAGGTTTCAGAAGTGAAACATGAAAAGAACGGGATATTCTGTAACGAGGGGGCAAATCTAATCTATAAGTCACATCATTGATTCTTTTAAGCACTTTAAATGGACCAACATATTTAGGCTGTAACTTTTTACTTCCCTCTGTAGCTTTGAAGTCTTTGGTAGATAACCACACACGGTCTCCAGGTTGGTATACGGGTGTAGCACTTCGATGACGGTCTGCTTGTTCTTTGTTCCTTTGTAGCATAATCTCAATACGTTGGTGAGTTTCTTCCCAAATCCTCTCACTTCGTTGCATCCAGGCATCCACTGCAGGAACATCTGTCATGACACCAGTCCAAGGCGCTAGGGGAGGTTGGTAACCGAGAATACACTGAAAAGGGGTGATGCCTGTAACTGAGCTCATGAGGGAGTTTTGGGCCATTTCTGCCCATAGTAAAAAACGGGACCAATCATTTGGGTTATTATGGCAGAAGAGTCTTAGGAATTTTCCTAATTCCTGGTTCATGCGCTCACATTGACCGTTGGACTGAGGGTGATAGCCGGAAGTTAGACTTATAGATACTCCTACATGTTCAAAAAATGCAGACCATACCTGGGAGGTGAACTGAGGGCCTCTATCCGAAACAATGTCTTCCGGTATACCGAAAAAGCGGAAGACCTGGTTAAACAGAGTCTCTGCTGTCTGAAATGCACTGGAGATAGAGGCAAAGGGCACAAAACGGACTCCACGTGAGAACCGGTCAATGACTGTAAGGATTGTGGTATAACCTTGAGATTCAGGCAGGTCTGTAACAAAGTCCACTGCTAAGTGTAACCAGGGTCTGACGGGTATTGGTAATGGGACTAGTTTACCAGCGGGTAAGGTCTTGGGGGTTTTGCATTGAGAACAGGTGGAGCATGATGCTACAAACGTGTGAATGTCTTTGTTCATGGATTCCCACCAATAGCGATTGGCTAACAATTGTTGTGTACGAGTCTCCCCGGGGTGGCCAGAAGTGAGTGGAGAATGGGCCCATGTAATTAGCTGAGTGCGAAATTGGTTAGGTACATAGAGTTTTCCTGGAGGGCACTGATCAGGAACATTAAAATTAACCAAGGCTTTCTTGATCTCATCATCGACCTCCCAACGAACAGAGGATATAGAAACCTCAGTGGGTAAAATACGTTCAGATGTGGTCTGAATGGGAACTGGATTGTTACTCTGATGTATTCTAGATAAAGCATCTGCTTTTGTATTCCTGGAACTGGGGCGATATGTTATATTGAAATTAAACCGTGAGAAGAACAGGGACCATCGGGCTTGGCGTGCATTCAGTCTTTTCGCGTTACGAAGGTACTCCAAATTCTTATAGTCAGTCAACACTACAAAAGGATGGTTAGCTCCCTCTAACCAGTGCCGCCATTCCTCTAATGCCAGCTTAACGGCTAATAACTCACGATCTCCTATACCGTAGTTCCTCTCTGTTGGGGTTAACTTGTGAGAATAAAATGCAATGGGATAGAGTTTCGGGGGAGAGCCTGATCGCTGGGACAAAACCGCTCCTATACCGGTTTCTGAGGCATCAACTTCTACTACGAAAGGTTCTGAGGGATCAGGGTGTTTAAGTATGGGAGCCGTGGTAAAGGTCTCTTTCAAAGTTTGAAAAGCATTTTCAGCCTGTGTATTCCAAATTAACTTCTTGGGATTACCTTTCAACAAGGAGGTTAGGGGAGCAGCAATGCTACTGAAGTTGCGAATGAACCTGCGATACAAATTAGCAAACCCAAGGAATCTTTGCAGTTCTTTAACTGAAGAGGGAGTGGGCCACTGAACTACTGCCTCTACCTTTTTATCATCCATCACCACGCCTTGAGAACTGATCACATACCCTAAGAAAGCAACAGACTGGAGATGGAATTCACATTTTTCGCCCTTAACAAATAAATTATTTTCAAGGAGACGTTTCAGAACAGTACGAACATGTTCTACATGAGTATGTTTGTTAGGAGAATACACAAGGATGTCATCAAGATAGGCGATGACGTATTCACCTAACATGTCTCTTAGAACATCGTTAATGAAAGCCTGGAATACAGAGGGGGCGTTACAGAGGCCAAAAGGCATAACTAAGTACTCATAGTGCCCCCTAGTGGTCACAAAGGCAGTTTTCCATTCATCCCCTTCTTTTATTTTAATCAAATTGTAAGCGCTTCTAAGGTCTAGTTTAGTGAAGTATTGGGCTCCCTTTAACTGTTCTAAAGCTACTGGCACTAGGGGTAGAGGATAAGGGTAGGCTTTAGTAATCTGATTTAAACCTCTGTAATCAATACAGGGACGAAGACCTCCGTCTTTCTTCTTTACAAAGAAAAAGCTGGAGGCTACGGGTGAGGTGGAGGGTCTAATGAACCCTTGTTCAAGGGCTTCCTGAATATAAGTATCCATGGCTTTTTCTTCTTCTTGGGTTAACGGATAGACTCGGGCTTTGGGAAGTACTGGATTATCTACAAGATCAATAGAGCAGTCATATGAGCGATGTGGAGGTAATTGTGTGGCATTGTTCTTATTGAAGACCTCTTTGAGGACCGAGTACTCAGGGGGAATGTCAATGGGAATGTCAGTATTAGGGCTTTCAACTGAAGTGGATCGGATGGAAACTACAGGGGGTGAAATACATGTCTGAAGGCAAAAGTCTGACCACTTCTGTATTTCATGTTCAGTCCAGGAAATCGTGGGATTGTGTTTTTCAAGCCATGGGAGACCTAGGATCAATTCAAATTCGGAGTATTCTAATACTAGCAAGGGTAAAAGTTCAGTGTGTAGGGCGCTGGTTTCCAGATGAACAGGCTCTGTTATCGCTGAGATGGTTCCCACTCCTACTGGACCTCCATCTAATGCTGCCACCCGTAGCGACGTTTCCAGGGCCTCCACAGGGATTTTTAGTTGTTCCACCAAATCAGCATGAATAAAGTTTCCTTCGGCACCGGAATCTATGAGGGCTGAAATAACAACAGAAGTTTGGTGACAGCATACAGTTACAGGCAACAAGAATGATTTAGAAACCAACCCCTTTGTGGGAACACTCACCACATTAGCACGTGGAGTATACTCCACGTGCTTTCCAGGGGTCGGCGCCTTATGTGTTTGTGGTCGGGTTCTACAGTCACGGATGCGATGACCAGCACCACCACAATACAGACACAGGTTTTCTCTCAATCGACGGAGTCTTTCTTCCTTGGAGAGACGGGAAGAATCACACTGCATATGTTCTTCCACTTCTTTCTGTTCCACTGAGTCTTGGGGGGTTTTCATTCTGGTGATCATCTTCCTGGCTTGGTCTACTCTGGGTTTGCCACGGTTATTCAATAAATGGTCGAGTCTGATGGAAAGTGTAATGAGCTGATCTAACGTTAAGTCGTCATCTTTGCAAGCCAATTCAGTCAGAATTTCCGGATTCAGTCCTTGACGGAAGGTGACCAAAAGAGCTGCCTCGTTCCACCCACTGCTAGCTGCTAAGGTGCGGAACTCTAACGCATAATTGACTACTGAGCGATTACCTTGGTATAGTTTGGATAACAACTCCCCACTAACCTTTCCTTCATATGGGTGATCAAATACAATTTGGAATTCCTTGAGGAATTGGGTGTAGGAAAGGTTATGTATATGAGACCAGCTGGCTGTGGCCCATTCTAAGGCTCTGTCCGCTAGACGAGAGACTATAAATGAAATTTTAGCCTGATCAGAACTTGCTGGGGAGTTATCAAAAAAGATTGAGCACTGGAGCAAAAATCCACGAAAGTTATCAGGGTTCCCATCAAATTTATCAGGTTTACTCACTGGAAACAGGGAGCTTGGTGTTTCAGCTTGGGCCAAAGGGCTGGTGGCGCTTGCCTCTGATTCTACAATGTTCAAATTCTGAAGTTGATCAGTGAGTCCTTTTACACTTGCCACAAGTTGCATCAGTTGAGCTTGTTGTTGTAATTGCTGGTGTGCTAGTGACTCAAGAGAGTGGGTAACTCCAGATAATGCATGCTGATGTCGGCCTAGCAATTGGCCTTGTTCAGCTAAAGCCTTCTGAAAAGCCTCCGGATCCGCCGTCTGCATTGCGGGCGAGGTATTCTGTAACGAGACAGAAAGGGCCAGACGCTCACGGTAAAAAACAAAAGATGAGGCTTTAATATCCAAGGGTTTGACAAGAATCGTGGTCAGTAAACAGGCATGGGTCAGATCCAAAACAGCAACAAGGTACAAAATGGCAACCATAACCAAAGGGCAAAGACAAAAGGGAAAAACCAGAAATCCAGAAAAACAGTCCAAACACAAAAAGGCAATCACAAAAACACAGGAGAAACGCTCAGTAGTTCTACAAGAGAAGCAATACCTCGCAATCTGGCTAAGCTAAAGCCCGGGCTTTTAAACTAAACTAAACAAGTCATGTGACATGGAACACAGGTGAACAGAGTTAGTATTCAGGAGACTGTGAGCGCTGATTGGAGCGTGAGGGAAGGTCAGGGGTCACGTGAGTCAGGTGATCTCTCAGAGGATTCTGGGAGATGGAGTCTGAGTGTGCATCAGAGCCGGGATGTGTGACAACTATTATTGCTCTTTAAACAACTCATATTTTACTACACTAAGTAGGATTGCATAACCTATTTTTAATCTTAAATTTCCACTGTTACAATTTTTTGGAACGTGCTCTTTGCATCAATTTCAGAATGAGTGTATATTAATGAAAAAATTCAACTTTAAGTAAAAACATTAAACATCTTGCCTTTGTATTTTTGTTTAGCTACAGTTCAAAGTAATCACTGCATTTGATTTTTATTTGCATTTCATATACTGTCCCAATTATTTTGGAATTGGAAGACAGCATCTAAACCCTATTAGGTTGGTCAGTATTGAGGGGATTTGCATTAGATTTTCTGTCTCTGAACTGGACAGTGGAGAATCTGAGTACAGATTTGCTGGATGAAGTCTTATGGACACAGTTTAGTCTCACTCACAGCTCTTGAACACAAAACTGAGGTTGTGTCTCCACAAAAAAGGACAGAGAGAGGCTTCAAGAGTGCAAACACTGACATCATACATAAAGAGCCAAATTACACAGTAGAAGAACTGCCAATTTGGTTGGTGACAAAAAGTTGACTAGTTATTGATTCCACAACAAACTGCAGTACATATTGTGACATTTATCAAAATTTGTGTTTAATGAAGGCAAGCAAACCAAATTAGCAAATACAATATTCCAGCTTTTACTCACACTGAATGTCCAGCTGCACAGATGAGTTTTGAGCTCCATGTTGGTTCTGAGCTCTACAGTAGTATAAACCACTGTGTGTATCATCAGTCTTGTTGATGGTGAGAGAGGGTCCGGTCTCTATCTGCTCTCCATTCTCTCTGTACCAGGTGTAGTTCACTGCTGGGTTTCCATCACTGCTGCAGCTCAGACTCACTGACCTGCCCAACATCACTGGACCAGATGGAGACACTGATACAGATGTGTTCTTAGGGGATCTGAGAGAAGAACAGAATAATGTATTACTAAGATATTAATTCAACTCCATGGAGTTGATCAGATTCAGGACATTACAAACAACTAGAACATGAGACTTTAATGCAGAAATTACTGGGTAAAATGTTCATAACCCAGTCTTACACAGGACTCGTAAAACCAGAGAGCGCTGGGTGGTTTTGGTGTCATTGTTCTCCAGCTGGTAGGTGGCAGTGCAGTTGAATCTGAGTCTATGATGAAGGTGAGTAGTGATGAAGTTCAGCTGAGAGGAGATGAAGCTGGTGTTTTGGTTCTGCTCCTGGCTGATGTTAGTTGGCAGGGGGCTCCATGATAATGTGGGCAGTACAGAGGGACACAGAGAAAAAGCAGAGCAGAACAAACTCACAGAGCTGCCCTCCAACACCCTCCGATCCTGCACCTCCATCTGATCTCCATACAGACTCAGTGTGGGTTTGGGGGGAGAGTCTGAGACACACAGATGAGGAGTGTTAGAGTGTCATATTAAAAAAGTACCACAGCTATATTTCAAATACATTATTATTATCTCAGAAGAACAGTCACACTATACATTAATTTCACTGTATCACTCACCACTGACATTTATATAAACAGATGCAGTTGTGTAAGTGTATTTCAGTTCTCCTGACTCTGAAATTCTGAAGTAATATCTCCCACTGTGACTCTTATTGACACTGTTGAAGATGGTGGTGCAGTTCTTCATTCTGAGATCTCCTGTTATTTTCCCTTTAATCTTGTTGTCTTTAGGTGTTGTGGAGTCAAAGACTATGTGATTTTGCTCAGTGCCATCTTTAAACCACATTCCTTTAAGATTTTTCTGGAGATCTTTTTCAAACTTGTCCTCAATTGTAAAAGTGCAGGGAATGACAACACAGCGTCCTCTCACAGCGTCTACACTCTGTGGCAGAATGATGCTGAAGGAATCTAGGCAAAAAGTAACTGAAACACACACACACACAAACACACACACACACACACACACACACACACACAAACATACACACAAACAGAACCATATAAAGGCATTAATACACATAAACACATCAGGCCAGACTCTGAATAATCAGAACGTTTTATATAAAGCAGAACTGCAACAACCTGAATAAACACTACAGAAAATACACAAATGAGCAAATCACACATTTCACATTAAATAGGTAGAAATATGTCATGAGTTACACACAGCATTCTGTAATAGCACACAAACCTCGAAATAGACAATAAAATGCTGCAATTTTCTCAGCAAACTTCATCTTTCTGATGAGGAAAAATCACCTGCAGAAGAGAGAAACAGGCAAACAAGTATGTTAATTAGTTTAATACATATTTTTCTCAGTTGTTAACATGTTTTCAGTGATAGAATCTCCTCTCTACACCTTATGTGGAAACATTCAGCAAATTTTTATTGTCTTCTCCTCGTACCTTTTAGGAGGAAAACAGAGAGTTTGTGAATAGTTAGTTGATGTGATGAATTCGCTGTTCTACACATTTAGAAAGTGAAATTATCTGAACTTATCTATTATTTCTCTTGTGATTGTTGTAAGCCTACTAAAAGACTCTTTAGCTAAAGACTACTAAAAAACTATTAAGCTAAAAGCTTTTTAGCTTTTTAACAATTGTTTGTTTAACGTAATTTTATCAAGTAAAAGTATCTCACAGTATTGGCAGATTGAAGAAACAAGATAAATATATAAAATTACTTAAAACAAGTAAAGAATGTCTAGAAACGAGGTAAATAGTCTCATAATGAGATTACAATAATTCCTGCATGGGAAATATTAGACATATCCACTAATTTAAGATCATATAATTTGCCAAGATAATATTGTTTGCAGTGTAACATTTAGATTGAGCAGAGTGTGAAATGAGCTATGACGCTACACTATGCACTCTGTGTGTTGTGGCCTTAACCAAAGGAAAGAAAAATCGGAAAAGAGATCCTCTTAATATCTCAGGAGTTTCTACTAGACGACACTGAGATCAGATGAAAAGATTAAGGAAACTTTGGCTTAAGTCTCCAACAGCTCAGATATTTCTTCTGAGAGAAATGTGTCTTTTTTAATAGAGATCTCAATAAAGTCAAACATTGTGCTCAGATTTGCCAACATAATTACATCTTCATTTGCAACTAAACTCTCATCTCTCCTTTTTGTCTAATGCTATTTTCTGAAGCAAATTTAGGAGAATCGCCATAATGTCTCCTGGGTCATAAAAGAGCAATAATTGAGCAATAAAATGTTCCTGTAAGGAATAAATGTGCCAGTAACATTTGTACCATTGATAAGATTTGCCCATATAAACACATTCAGCGTTGATAGTAACTTTAGTAAGTGTCACGCATTCGGTGAACTCTCTGAAAGAAACGGACTTCATCTCCCAGAATCCTCTGGGAGATCACATGACTCGGCAACTTCCCTCGGACTCCGACTCCGACACGGACTCCATTGCCCACAATTCTATGGGCGATCACGTGACTTCTGACACTGGCTTACGTTCCAATCAGCGCTCCAAGTCACCTGAATATTAACTGGCAGCACCTGTGTAGTTTACTTTATAAGCCCGGGCTTTAGTCTAATTCAGTGCGAGGTATTGTTTCCTGTTGAACTACCGAGCGTTTGTATACTGACTGCCATTATCCCGTGTTTGAACCTTTGCTTTGTGTATATCGACTCTGCCTTTTTGTCTTTTCCCTTTTGTGCTTTTGCCTCTACGGACTGATCTGTGTTTTGGAACTTTTTGCCTGTATTTTTGACTTCGTCTTTTGCTCTGCCCTTTTTCGGTTTGTTCGCCTAGTATTATTAAACGCCAGCATCTTTTACTTCCGCGAGCGTCTGGTTTCTGTTGACACGTCACAGTAAGACATTCACATAAGACAACAACTTAAAACCACTAAAGCTTGTGATACATAACAATAGAAGTACAACATCTTTAAAATAAAGAATAAAATATGCTATCTATGGAATGAATCAACTAATTAAATTCAATTACTATTTATTATTATTAATAGGTGCCATCAAGTCGATTCTGACTCCTGGTGACCATATCCTCTGTTTGGGTCTTTAGGCGTCTGAATGGCTTGTTTGTAATTCTTCTGGTCATCTTGTAGCTGTTCATCCTCTTCTTTCATCTTCAACTCTTCCAAGCATAATGATCTTTCACAATGAATTGGTTCTTTTTGGAATATGTCCAAAAGACATAAAGAAAAATAAAACAGCTTCAGTTCGATTATCTGGGCTCTGAGTCACAGGTGAGGCTTGATTTGGTTGAGGATAAATTTGTTTGTGTTCTTTGCTATTTAAGGCAAAAGTCGTCTCTAAAGTCTTCACCAACATTAAAGTTCAAAGCATCAATATTTTTTTCTGTCATGCTTGTTTATTGTCCAACTTTCACATCTAAATTAAATGACAGAGAAGATCACAGCCTGGACAATTCCAATCTTTGTTTGTAAAGACAATTTGAAGATCTTTTCAAGCTCCTTCATTGTGCTCTGCCAAGTGCCAACCTGTGTTGTGTTTCTTCACAGCTGCAGCCTTTGTTGATAATAACTGATCCAAGTAGACAAAAGCTGCCCACCATTTCCACATCTTCTCTATCAATGGAAAAGTGAGCAGGCTCTCCTGTAGTCATATGGTTAGTCATTATTATATTGAGCTGAAATCTGGCTTCAGTTTTATTCAGGCTTCAGGGTTCCTAACCTTTTTCACAGTGCAACCCTTTTTTGGGGTTAGAAATACTTCATGACCTCCTCTTTGCTAACTCACTGATTGCACTCTTCTAAATAATGTTCTCTGTGTTTAATAAGGTGTGTATCTTGTAGCAACACTCTCACATCCCCCTCCCTTCCCTCCCCAGGAACCCCTGGTGTAGAGGTTCCTCCTTAGAATGGTAAGATGCTCTTGTATTCCCATTCCCATTCCACTATTTTATGTGGTCGACACAGTTGAAGGCTTTGCTGTAGTAAATGAAACATGTGTTGACTTCCTTCTTGAGCTCCTTGTCTTTTTCAATTATACAGTGTATATCAGCATTGATCTCTCTTGTTTCTCTGCCTTTCCTGAATCCTGCACATCGTGCATATCCATCAGTTGTCTTTTAATGTAAGGCTCCAGTCTGCATTGAATGATCTTGAGCATAATTTTACTGACTTGTGATGCTCAAGGGATTGTATGATAGTGAGACTCTTTCTTCTCTCCTTTCTTTGGTATTTGGTATATCTGATGGTCATTGAGCTGTTTTCCAGATTTGTTGGCATAATTTGGTCAGCGCTTTGACAGAATCCTCTTCAGAATCTTGTAATATTTTCATTGCAGCGTTATCAGTTCCTGTGGATTTCTTCTTGGGAAATGATCTCAGGGCCTGTCTGACTTCATCTTCTAGCACTGAAGGTTCTTCTGCGTAGCCGACATCAACTAAAGTGCCTTGGCATTTCACGTCTTTTTTGTAGAAGTGTTCTGTGTATTCCTTCCATCTTTATTTGATGTTTGTTATAATTTGTCCTTGACCTTGTTTTTCAACATTTGTTCCCATTTTCAGTATCTTTACAAATGTTGTAGTAAATCAGTATCATATCTGTTTTGGCTACCTAGTGGATTTATACTGAAATTAAACTAAAATAATGAAGGTATTTATCCAATGAATTTCATCAGTTACATCAACCTATGTGTTGGTTACATAGTCAAATCATTTTAAAAGGGAATTCCACTGATTTTAAGATTTCTACATAATTCACTCATGATAAGATGTAAACAAATCTTTCAGAGTAGTTTGATGTGCAACACAGTATTGTAGAGAAACTTGATTTCTTTGCAGTGGTAGTTATGGGACCCAGGGGTCACAGTGTCTAACGCAAATACAGCCATTTCATTTACTGTCCAAAACCAACAGATAACCCACTCATGTAGTATGGACAATGTTTAACAGGGGTAAGTGAGGTAGTTTTACTCTTTGGGGAGTATTTTGCCTCACTATATCCTGCATGTATCTCTCCATTATAAAAGAAATTCTAAAGTTATTTTCAAGGTAAAGGAGTGAGAATAGAAGCCTTGACCCACTATCAGTATTTAAAGGTTAATTATAGTGAAATTCTGAAAAATCTGTGGAATTCCTCTTTGAAGTGTTGAGGCTGTTGGACTGTGTTCGATACATGTAAAACGTTTGTCACCTTACACCTTTATTTGTTTTAATACAATGTCAACAGTTTAAAGTTTCCCAAATTAAATCTGATTTTACTAGAAGACCAGAATCCTGCTTTACTGTAGCGTCTACTCTGCATTATCACACCATTTTACAGCTTCACAAATGAAATCTTCAAATTAAATCTTTATCAGTGTATCAATGTACAAAGCTCATACAGCACCACTGCTACAGTGAGATTAAGAGGAGCTCCAGTGGTTCTTACCTCACAGGGTGGATGAGAAGCTGGTGGAAAAACAGCTCTTTGGTACAGAGAATGTATAAACTGTAGTTGTTGAGTTCAGACTGTATGAAGTGTCCTGCTGTATCTCTGCTCTCTGTGGTGGGCTGGATTTAACTGTACTGTGTGACAAACACACACACACACACACTTCCACTTCCTCTCACACTCACCAAGCCTGAACGTGCAACACTATCAGCAACTTTTATTCCTCTAGTTCTATTCTTTATTCTCTTAAAGCCCATATCATGAAAAACTGACTTTCTTTGCTTTTTTGATAAGAGAGTTGATACGGTGTATATAAACATTGTCAAAGCTTCAAAATGTACCGTTCACTCCTCAGTCCATACATGGAAACAAAAACAAAGCCTATTTTGAATTCACTGTTTTAGTGATATCACAAAAACAACACTTTGTTTTCTAAATATTTAATTTATAATGGAATGATGAAGGAATGCAAAAGCAGAACTTGGAAGTGCAGCGCCCGGACTGTCTGCGGCAGCACATAACAAAAACACAACTGGATGAGCGAGAAATCCGACCAG